GCTGATGCTGATGCCGCTGCTAATGCCACTGCTGCTGCTCGGGGAAAATGCAACGGAAAATGTTTTGGCGTTGCGCTTTTTGCCATATTTCCGGTTACATAAGCAACAGTCGTCAGAATGTGAGACGTGAGTGAAAGAGACAAGGGAAATGGAAAGAGAGAGAGAGAGAGAGAGAGAGAGAGTGAGCGAACGAGGGGGCAGAGGTCGCTGGGCTTGGCGTCTGGCGGCATTCGCCATGCCAAATAAAATATATACGATGCATATACCTATACATACATATGTATATGTATATTGATATGTATATGTATTTGAGCAATATGTATATGTATATATTTTTGCAGTTGACTGACTTTTGTGGATGCCGCCGCCGCCGCCGCCACCGCCGCTGCTGCGTCTTCATCTCTCTTTCTCTCTGTGTGTGTGTACGTGTCTGTGTGACTTGTTTGCTTTGCTGACTCATGATGTTGCCCGAAAAATTCCCTCGTGGCCAACAAAAATACACAACAAGCGCAGCACACATACAGAGAGACATGACTGTAGCATCAGTCGTCCACATTCAAACAAATTGCGCATGTTATGCGACATGCGAGCTGCCATGTTTACGCCCCCCCTGCACAAACTGCCCACCTCATGCCATCATGTGACCCCTCGACTCGAGCATTATATCTATATATTCATTTTTTTTTGCTTTTTTTTTTTTGCCCTGATCCCATAAAGTGTGCAAAAAGTTGGACTTGCGGGGATAATTAGTCTCATATTAGTTTTTCAGCAGGTGGGAGAGCGTTGTCGATGTGTGCATGCGTGTGTGTGTGTGTGTGTGTGTGTGCGTATCACTAAGCGGAAATTAATTGAGTTAAAGTTTAGTTTTGGGCTATTGATTTAGCATTATATACTATAGATATGGGCAAACTTTGAAGGCTTCTTCTATTTATATGGTATCATTCATATCTTTATCATGTGGACAAAGTTTCAATTTTTGACATGTCGAATGAGATTTGGGTGAGAGAAAAGTATGCCAAATGTGTGGAAATTTCATTTACGAAATTTTTGCAGATTATCAGAAATGAAATGATGAACTTTGAAAGAAATTCCTTTATTGAAATTAATGTTTTTTAGATTTATGCATTCATGCTCTTCGTGTATTCAATATATCTCCATTCAAAATAGCTTAGCTTAAGTAAAAATTTACCAGTTTTAAAAGGATTTTAAATCTGTTTTATTTTTGCATATATTATCATTTTCCCCGCTGCCTTTCATTAAATACTAATGAATATATGTGTATATAATATACGTTATGATTGTTTCTCTCCTTCTGCTTTGCTATCCTTAGTTAGCTCGTTTACATGCTTCTAATTTGTATCTCTTGTATTATTCACGCTCGCCTTATTCTCTATAGAGTTAAGCAGCTCGTTAACTGCTGCATGCATTATAGCGTCGCGTCTTTGGCTTAAAACTGCAGTTGGCTCGGTATCATTATCATTACGTTGGGCACATTATTCCCCAATGCAGCTCGCTGCAAGCCGCAGAAAAACCCGCTGCAAAAATATAGAATAAAAAAAAAACCTTTTATATATGTAACAAATTTTTCCTTAGCAGTTTTTCTTCTTCTTCCTTTTACCCACATACACAAATAAACTTCCTGTTTTGTTCTTGTTGTGTTGTGTTTGGTTTGAATGTGTATGTGTGGCGGTAGTTTTATGTGTGTGCGAAAAACGATTTCCTATATTGCATTTTCCTCTTCCGCTGAGCAAAGATGCCGCATCCGTTACGAGTTCTTGTCTCCATGTCTACTCCAGCTTATGCTTCCTATTGATGCACACACAGTCACACACTAGATATATGTGTATATATATGTATATGTGGAGTGTATATATCTTTATGCTCCCGCTTTCTACTGCCAACATGTTTGCTAACAAGCAGAAGGCAAAGAATTTTTTTTTCCATTTTCTCTTTTTTGCCATTTTTTTTTTCATTTTTTGCCCGCGTTTCAATTCGGTTCTCAAGGGCATGGCCCAGCCAAATGGAATTTATATGGCAACATAACATCTGGCTTGCACACAGTTTTATTGATTTTATTGCCACGCACACACACAGACACAGACACATACACATACACTAGTATTAGCACTGGTTGAGAAATGTTGCTCCAATTTCATTTAAAGCATTGTCACTTAGATAATTATAATTAAATTTTGCTTAGAAATTTATGTCTTATGTGAAATGAAAGGTAAAGAAACTGCTTTATTAAAGCAAAGATTCTTAAAATATTCAAAAGAAAATAATTCTTTTAAAGAGATCTTGCTTGATCTTGGTTAAGTTGAATATTATTTATAATATATATTTACGTATATATTTCTTAGTGGTTTGGCTTGTGTCCTATGCCTATGCTCATAATAACTCACTGTGTGGCATTCGGCTGGACAATCCGCAGTTAAAGTCAAGCTTGTCGCAAATCTTTCGAGCTTCCCAGTTCCACTCTCGCTCTGTCTCTGTCTCTCTCTCCTGTGTGTGCCGTGGATGCCTGCACTTGCTTATTTTATATTCCAACTTCCGGCTTATGCACATGACTTTAAGCCGGCTGCATCCGTTTGGGGGTTTGTCTTGCTGTTGCCATCTTTTACGCCCTCTGGGGGCAAGCCGCCACCCCCGCTTGGCGCCCCGCTCTGTCAGTGCCATATTCGGCTGTCTTTTGCAACGGCCTCGCATTTAAAGCATATTTATTTACTACATGCACTAGTGCTAGTTGCACCCGCTACCCACTGCTTTAGCCGGTTAGTTGCAGCATTTTATTTTATTTTGTATTTTCTTCTTATTTTTATTTCTCTCACATCCTTTTGCACGCTTCCTGCTTAATTTTGCGCCTGTCGTCTGCGCCTGTCTACATGCTTATAACTTGTTTCCTGTTGTTGTTACTCCGTTACTGTTGCTTCTTCTGCCAGTGCTTCCCCTTCTGTTATTCTCTTTTGTTGCCGCTACTCGTGCTCCTGCTGCTCCTGCTGCTGCTTATGCTGCTGCTGCTTATGCTCATGTCGTCATTTGATAAATTCCACATGCTGAGAATTTATCTGCCCCCAGACATTGTTGTGCCACCCGCAGCTGCAGTTGCCGTCTCCACGCACAGATTGCACAAATCTGCAGCATTTATTTATTTATGTTTTTTTTTTGTTCGTCTAGCCTTAACTTCGATTTCAGATTTTTCCAACTATGAAAAATGTTGGAAAAATCTTGTTGCTATTGTTGCTGCTAGAGTTGTTTAGGAAAGGCAAAAAGAAAGCATTTAAAGACGTTAGGGTTAAGTTGTTGCAGACAAGCAGTTAAATGTGAGCAGATATATAGTAGTAACTTTTTATATGATTATTCATTATATTATAAAGAAAATGTAGAAGACCATGATGTCCCATAAAATATCCGGTCCAAGATAAAATCGAGCTAAAGCTGATTTATAAATTCTGTAAATCCAAGTGCAGAAAATTAAATAACATTAAAATCTAAATATTTGCCCAAAAATTTCACATTAAAATCAAATTTTCTTGGATTCCGCAGTTTTACTTGCGTTCACAGAAGTATGCTATAAAAATTTAATTTTATATCACTCTCGGTACATTGACACTCGCCATGCTCTGACTTTTTGCCGTCGTCGTCCTAGCGACAATTTGAAGCTTTTGCTAAGTATATATTTGTGCTCTGTTTTCGGCTGTGGATTTTCTCTTTTTCTTTTTGTATCATTCCACTTGAGGCTCACACGTGTAGGTCATTAGTCGCTTAATTAAATGAGGAGCAAGCGGAGCATTTTTAAGCATTACTTAGCACTCTTTAATTAACAACAATGGGCAAGTGAGTGTGTATCAAATTAATTGCAGAGTATGTGCAAAATGGCAAAGCAACAGTACACACACACACACACACATGCACACGCACACGCACACAGACAAGCCAAGTCAATTAATGCATATAGAGCAGCATTTGAATGGGCATATCTGCAGGCAATATAATGTGAACAATGAGCAAGCCCTCGCTCCCCGCCCCACCTATGCATATGCCCAGTGGGGGTTGGAGCGGGCGCGAACGCCTCTTAATTTGTGCTTTCATTTTATAATCGCATCAGTCACTCACTTGAGCTGTGGCTCGTCAACAGGCGGCCGAAAGCGAAGTCCTTTGATTTGTGCCTGGAAATTCAACCAAACTAAGCGGAGTAGGCATTCGGGCGTTGGATGTTTGGGGCGTGTAGGCGTCCGGGTGTTTGGGGTGTGGCACGTTGGGCTTGGCATGTGCATGATGCACTGCTAGTCGCGGCAAAGATGACAAAAGATGTATCTATGTTATTAATAGTGCTGCTGGCAAACGATGATGAAGCTGACAGGCTCAACAGCAACAACAACAACAACAGCAGCTACAACAACAACAACAATAGCAACGGCAACAAGAGCAGCTGGGATGGAGGAGGCATACAAAGTTATTTGATTACAATGCGCCATACACCACTATGGGCATTGTGGGCGTGGCACATGCATCAAGTCGGCATGTACATAAATTGCAAATTGTTGTTGTTGTTGTTGTTGTAGCTGTTGTTATTATCCTTGGCCATGCATTTATGATAGCGTTGATGTGCAGGCTTTGCAGATTAATTACGTATACGACACGGGTGCCGCATGGGTTGCCTATCTCTAGAATATCACAAAAGCCAGCTAAAGAAATTTGCAATAACAATTGTTTAAAGATTGAAATTAAGACGATTAACTTAATTGAGAGAGATGGATAGATGCTAAACGAGGAGCTTATGGTAATGCTTAATAATTAAATGATAGGTTTAGCATAGAATAATTACTTCATTTTATTGAAAGCAAATATATTTTTTGATTATTTACTGAAACTTTGGCAAAATATGGTAAACGAGGAGATTATGGCTAGAATTTAATAATGAAATGCTAAGATTATATTAAAAATATAATTAATAATTAAGAACTTTATTAAGAATTCCTATCCTGTCAAAGTATACACAAATATCGATTCTATGCAGTTTTAGGTATTGGAAATTATTGGAAATTTTTAGAAAATTGCAGTAAATTTTCTATCAATCTAAATCTACTGTAAGTTAGCTAATCTTAGTTCTTAGAATAATATATAAGGTCATACATATATCTTTAAAAGTCATTGCCGATCTTAACTGCAACTTCTTGACAAATTGTTTGGCTATTAGCGGAAGTAATGCGCCCTGGCAAATTGACAGACCGCAAAATGTCAACTGCCAACTGCTACTTAAAGCGTCATTAAAAGCAGCTCGAAAGTGAAAACCTAATGGCAGCGTCTACAACAACAACAACAACAACAACAACAGCAACATGGAGTCTTATTACTGCTACTGCTACTGCTACTGCTACTGCAACTACTGGCTGCTGTCTGGCTGGCTGGCTGCAGCGGACATTGACAGTAATTTGCACGAAAAGTGCAAACCGCAGCAGGACGAAGCCGTTGACGAGAGCGCAGCTGTTAATATGCGATGCCAGCGACAGTTGGCGGCACGTGCTGCTAAACAAAATGTGACACGCCTCCACACACACACACACACACACACACCACACACACATACACTCTCACACAGTCAGCACTTGGGCGCATCATTTCCGCATCCGCTTTGGCAATCAGCCTCTCGTGCGCTCGCCACCCTTCGTCCGGGTCTCGTCTTGCCCACTGAGTACATATAATTTTAGCTTTTGTCTGCTCAAATTTCAGCTCATTTGAGCATCTGTCATTATGCCAGAGCTTTACGTGTGTGTGTGTGTGTTCAAAGGGAGGAGGACTGGCATGTGTGTGTGTGTGGACAGTCAGACGTGTGTTAGGTAAATTAATTGCTCATTGCAAAGATAAGACCCTGAGATGAAGACCCCTAAAAACGACTGTTGATTGAGCCAGTGGACAAGCGATGAAATGGCCTTTAAGTTGGGGCTAGATAGAGTGCCAAATTAGACATGCCTGATGGCTTGCAGCTATAGCATTCCATATTTGTGTGTAGCTTTAGAGTTTACTTTGTAGAAAATATTAAAATATATAGATTTTTGAATGAGACTTTTGCGTAATATTTAATTTTGGTTTGAGAACATATATTATTCATTTGCTCATTGCCTTTATTTCATGCTTAATCTGTTTTCCAGGTCCTGAAGGCTGCAATCTGTTTATCTATCACTTGCCACAGGAGTTTACCGACACCGATTTGGCTTCAACTTTCTTGCCATTCGGGAACGTTATCTCGGCAAAGGTGTTCATTGATAAGCAGACGAGTCTCTCGAAATGTTTCGGTTTCGTTTCCTTCGATAATCCGGAGTCCGCACAGATGGCCATTAAGTCAATGAACGGCTTCCAGGTGGGCACGAAGCGCTTGAAGGTGCAACTGAAGAAGCCCAAGGATGCATCCAAACCGTACTAAGGAGGAAGAAATGCAGGAGCGCTTCAATAAGAACAGAAAATAAAGCTTAGAATGAGAGAGTGTGGGAGATCAAGAGAAAAACTAGAATGGAAAAGAATCCCGCTGAAGGAACAAACTTAACAAACTTATATTAACAACAACAACAACTATAGCTAAAAGAGCAACAATAAGAAATGTTTACCCTTGAAAAAAATAGATCAACTCGAACTAAATTGTCAAATGGAGTAGTCCAATGAAGAGTTACCCGTGTGGAGCGCGCGCGTTTAAAGTAAACCAAAAAGTCAAGAACCTTACGTTGTACGTATACCCTATGAAAAATCCAAACAAAAAATATACAAAAACTAAAAAAAAAAAACAACAATTGGAAAAAGACATGAATTTGTGCCAAAAAAAAAAGACAGTAAATATATATTTAGCACGTTAAATGTTGAAGTCAAACAAAAAAAAAAAAAGAAAACCTACTACACCTAAAGATACCCTATAATTTAGCGTTTAGTTCTGTCGAAACACTTTCTGTTTGTTACGCTTTGAAGTTATTTTCGCAACAAATTTAACGACACATTTCAATATCTTAATTTTTTAAGCTGTTGTCGCACAGTTAAAACAAATTTTAACAATTCATTTTTTTGTACACTCTCTTCTTTTTCTTTTTCGAAAATATGACATACATAAATATATATATTTAAACTGTTTCAACTGTTAGCTTTTAAGTTTCACAACAATGAAGAAACAAAACAAAAAATCAAAAAATCAAAAAAAAAAAAAACTTTAAACTTAAATCAATTTTGAACAATTCATACTTGTCTCTGTTTCATTTGTTCATCTCATGATGTTGCAAGTCACAAGTTGTTTTGAATGTTTGTTGAATATCTGAAGTTCTCAACTAAACATTATTATATATATATACTATATAAAATATATATTAATATATTGGTTTCTTTGTTTTGTTAAATGGATTATCTTTTTATATGCAAATGCGTATATGAATATTTTAGTTTTTAATGCCAAAACTGAATTGTTAAAACAAACAAAAATTATCCAACATTTTTATTTGTACTGAATGGAAAAAACAATGTTTTTGTTATACTTAATTATCATTACTCAATCATTATTATTATATATTTCGTTTAGCTTTAATTTTTATTTACTGAACTACAAAATTGTTTAGTGTTAATGTGAGAGAATAAAAAAATACAATATATACATAGATTTTTTTTTTTTTTTTTAATTTCAGCGATTTAAATTTTTAAAATTCACATTTATTTTGATTCACTTATGATTATAATAGTAAACCCACTTTTTTTTCGATCAGTGTATTTTGTCTGTACTCATTTCAAAATGTTTCCATTTTCATAATGCTTAAATTCTTTCTCATGCATTAAACATTTTGTAGTTGAATTGAGTAAATTGATATATTTTGCATTAGTTTATGTAGAGCATAGCTTTGTTTATGTAAAATATTTACACACTTACACTTTACACACACATACACTACACACTCACATATGTACACGCAGAACACATAACCCATGCTTATTTAAATATACAAATAAAGTTTTGTTTTCTGTTTCAAAATGCACATGAACGCAATTTGGTGTCTTTATTTGTTTATCTGGTGTAAATCATATTTAAATGTTTTTCTTATTAATGATGTATTTTATTTTCCCTGTTCTATTCAGAATCTAAGTAAACGTTTCTTCGAGTTGCCTAGAATATGACTAATTTAAACCAATTTCGAAGGCCAAGTAAAGTGATGCTGCTAACGAGTCAAAAGGTGAGCGACGATCAAAAAATAAAATAAATTTATATATATTCGAATATTCTATATATTTCCTCTTTTCTTTCAGTTGTTTGCCGTCGTTCTGTATAGCACTTTGGTCCCATTTATATTGTACATACTATGCTGCCCATCAAATTGCTGTCATACATAGAAATTCGCAACAAGTGTAAATTTTTATAGCCTTGTATACACGAACTGTTTGTAAAAAAAAACAAAAACAAAAAGTACCACACACACACAAAAATGAAAAAAAAAAAAAAAAAGTTGAACAATGAGCATGAAAAACACATCAGATAACAACTTATATAGAGGATAATTGTAAGATAGCGCAGCATTATGCCATTTTAATAAAGCTTGCAAAGCAAAAACTTTTATTATATATATTGAAATAAACAAAAAAGAAAAAAACAAAAAAAAAAAAAGCGGAGAAAAAACAGAAAAGACGTGACGAGAAAAATAATTAGGTCTAGCGTAAATTGTGTGTTTTTATGATTTGTTTATAGTTTTGTAGCAATACAGAAAAAAGCATTGACAAATCAAAGTTTTGGAAAATCAATTGAGCAGAGTTGCCATACCACTCGCATTAGAGCTGCCGCCTAATCATCTGGCAAGCTCTAAAGCCAATTGAGTCACTGAAATAATATTCGGGCTTCTTAGGTAGCATACTATTATTTCTATGATGTATATTTACATATATGGCTGCAATATTTATTTAGCTAATTTATTTCATCAAGTATTGTAGTAATTAGTTAATTATATATATTATATCGTAAGCTATAGGTGTAACTCTGTGTGCATTTTGTGTAACTATCTAAATGTGGCTTTAAAAAAAAAATAATAATAATAATAATTAAATGCTTTTTTCAGTGACATTTGAATCGCATATAAGTTTTTATTAAAGATTAAGCGTTTTTGTCGTTGTGTAATTAATTGTAATTAACTAGAAATTGTAAGTGTAATTTTTTAGAGAAACAAAGCAAGGCTGTGTGTGTTCTAATTGATTAAATTTAAGTCTATATAAAAGTATGTGCGCAAAATAAAAAAAAAAATTAATATTTATAATAATAATAATTTGCTGACTTCGATTTAAGCGATTGAAATCGAAAGCGAGAACGTAAAATCTAGTGATAAAACGCAGTTAGTTAAGTGGATAAATATAAATATATATATAGATGTATATATGCATTATTGTATATTGGTGTATAAATCAAACACTCACACACACACACATCTCACAACAACTTAAATCAATAAAAAGGTGTCATCAATTTTTGATATTAAATACTAAAAAAAAAAAAAAAATGGCATTATTTTCCAACTGAATCGTTTGCTGGCTGATAAACCTAGATTTGGCTGCTGACGCTAGTCTAGCGCAATTTATCAAATTCTTTGGTTAGTTGAAAAACTTTTTAGCTAACTTTTGCACTGCCAAGAAAACATACACATACATGAATTTGGCATATGTGTGTGTGTCTACAAAATGTTGACGAGCAACTAAAGAAAACTTCAACAATAAACGAAATATTTTGCTAAACTTGCGATTTGCATATGAAAAAGTTTATGCCAATTGTAGACGTGGGGGCGAGGGAGAAGGTGTCTATATGCAGTGGGAGTTACGAGGCGTATATTGCCCGACGACGGCATCATGTAAACAAATTTACCAACTACGTGACGCAGCAGCGCCCCAAGAAATGCCAACGAATTGAGATCCATCTGCATACAGCATCCATCCATTCACTTGCCGTCTACAGCTCTGGTTGGATATGTGTGTGTGTGCGTGTGTGGGCCAGACGTTTCCACCGTCGTTGCATAATCCAAATCCAAAGTCGAATCTTAACGCAAGATTTATTTCCATTTAAATCATGCGTGGAAAAGTTTGCTGCTGCTGCTGCTGCTGTTGTTGGCAGCAAAAGGCGAAAATCTAACGTATGTGGGCCTTGGGAGTTGCCACTAACAGATAGGATTGGGGCGAGGCGGGCACAGAGGCACAACACAGCACACGGTATTAATTTTGTCTTGGCGTATTCAAATATTTTGGCTTTTGATTACGACAAAAGTTTTTGGCATTTTTGCCATGCTTAGTTCGACAACAACAACAACAACAGCAGAGGCACCCGAAGGACTTGCTCTTATCCTGTCAAATGAATTTTTTTTCGGCGTCAGATAAGCGTTAAATGCACACAAAATAAAGCCGATGAAGAAGCAGAATTATTGAATCATGGTGAGCAGCCAAAAATTCAAGTTGATTTTTTGCCTCCAACTAAACCCCAAAAACCCTTGCTGGCGTCTGTCTGTATGCGAATCGCTGTGTATCGAGTATTCGAAAATTGTAAGTGACAGGCTTGGCTGGTATTTTATTTATTGATGGAAATTAATTTTATATGCTGGTGAGTAAGATTCTATGGGAATCTTTGGGATTTGGGTTTATAAAACTTAAGTATGCTTGAACGGCAAAACAGAATGTCTAACAAGAATTCAGGAAAATATACAAAATATATTCGAGTACAACTGATCGAGTTTGGTTTTAATTTAACAATGCATTTGCTCTGCTGACAGTAATAGAGAGAGCGAGGTGGGAGTCAATGAGCACTAGCAGAGCAGAGCAGATATTCATGCCACAGCAAGAGCACTAATCAAATGCTAGTTAGTTTCTCTTTCCATGTTCGAACTGCGAGCATTGTGAATAAGCGAGTGTTGTGAATAGAGAGTAGAGGAACGACAAAAGCAATCTCTATACTAGCAAATCTATTGAGTCACCTGAAGAGGTTAAGCGGTTTTGTAAGACGTAGGGAAGGTTGCTTTATGGAGAGCAGAGATGTAAACATAGCTGTTGAATTTTCCATAGTTAGTCTGCACTTTAGCAATAACATGAAATAATCACTCGAAACCACATACATAAGTACATACACAAAATTACTGCAAACCTATAATTTCATACCCCAGTTTATATGAAATTGAACTGCATATTCAATCACGTTTCACATTCCACGATATGCTAAAGTCCAATTGAATTTCGAAATTCTTTCATTAGGCAGCTCGCTTAATAGCAATTTGGCCATCAGCAGCAGCAGAGCTCTGGCATCTGTAGCCAATCGTGTTTATAAACGTATATTCGCGGCATAGGGTTCAATGGGTCTTGATGCCACTCAAACTGCCCCTCTATAGCTCTCTCCTCTAACTGTTATTATGCCGTGGCTCATTCTCTTGGTGCTCGGCTCGCCGTGCATGTGCTGGGCGCTAAGCAGATTAGCAAAGTTTGTAATTACGTTGGTAATTGATTAGGTTCGAACAACAAACTGCTAATAAGATTATTGCAGTCGAGAGCAAACCGAGCTGAAAAAACAACTTTAGCCCAGAACAGACTCCCAATCAAATAGAGCAACAACGATAACAACAATAGCAACAACAACAATAGCAACAAGCCCAAAAACCGAACACGCAACAAAATTCGAAGCGATTTGTGGCACAAGTTTTGCATGGAGCATCCCGAACGATGTTGCCTCGCGCTGAGCTCTTAGTTATCTCTCCCTCTCTCTCTCACTCACTCGCTCTGACTCGTTCCCACGCTTGTTTGCACAATTTGCGGCTGCAGAGGAGGAGGAGGAGGAGGGAGGCTGGGGTGGGCCTCTGGGCTTGGGGTAAGCTCACGCAAGCCGGAAGAACAACAATCGACCGCCGAAATAACAATGGCTTTGGCGCGTTTGCCAGTTTTGGCATTGGGCGTATTGTTAATGGCATTGCATGCAAACACACACACACACACACACACACACATACAGTGATAGAGAGAGAGCGATATATACACACACAAGACAAACAATTTAGTGGCATTGCAACGTGGGCAAACAATCAGCGCTACGTCTGAGGCACACTTGCCGCCCATTGGCTGAGGTTGAAGATGGGGCCAGTGTCCAGTGTGGTGTTTCTTTGCCCGCCAAGCGGAAGCGGAAGTGCATGACCAGCTGCATGGCTATACGAATGTGTGTGTGTGTGTGCGTGAGATAAATGCCTGCCACGGCGCAATGCAAAGCCGCAAGGATATCAGTCGTTGTCATTGTCGGCAGCGCGGGGCACAGCTCAGCTTGGCTACCGATCGGCTTTCAGTTGCTGATTAAAATCGAGGCCCATTGGCTGCATGTCCCGCCAGCCAGCGCAACCATCGATCACACTCAAAATGACGCTCAAATAACCCACACCCGCACACACACACACACTCACACACACTCACGCATACGTACACTCACGCACATACACGCACAAAGTGAATTTGATTTTGAGCGGCAGCAGAGCACAAAGAGAGCAGCAGAAGATGGGGGTACAAAAAAAAAAAATGCAAACCGTTTGGGAATAGCTGCAATTTTGCACGTGAACACGCTCGTCCTTCGCTTTCAGGCTCGTCCTGCTGCGCTATGCTGCCATATCACTTCCAGTTCACTTGACATATATGCAGCAGCATGCTCGGCTGGGCGGTGGGCCGGCCAGGGCGTGGCAGCATCGGCTCGCATTGCCCGCCATTTACGCTTCACTGCCAGCGTTCAGCTGCAGCTCGTGAGTTTTTAGCTTGTCTTTTCATTTTTTTTTTTCTTTCAGCTTTCCTTTTGTTGCAGTTGTTGGCCCGCTCAATTCCGAATGCATTGCCAATCCCAAATGCTTCATTCTGTGATGGGTATGGACTGTCAATATTCCCGTTCCCATATATACCTCAACTGGCGGTTGTTGTTGTTGTTGTTGTTGCCGCAGTGTTGGGCAAATCTCGACAGCTAACCCAGTTTTGCGCTTTTTACGGTTGAGCTGCTTCCCATAGTGGAAGACAAACACACAAAATTGTTATGTGGCTTGGCCGTGCAGCTCTTATGAGTGGCATTTCGTGTTGCCAGTTTTTAAAATCTGTTACCTGTGGCTACGGCAAATATTGTTAATATTGCATATTGATTTGGATCAATGCACTTGGGCGCCGCTGTCAGAGAAAAACACTCCGCTTGGCTAAACAACCGGGGAAATAGCTGAAAGTACTTATGTATTTATTGAATGTTTATATAGTAAATAGCAAAGTGTAATTATGACAAGAGAAATTGACATGAAGTTTATTAAAGAACAAAAATACTACCTCTAGTCAGCTATATTAAACTTCTGCATCCACCTAAGATAACACCTAAGACAGCCAATCAAACCGGAAGCTTTTATATTTTCCAAGCTTTGGCGCTGGGCGAAAATTACGTTTAGC